TTTAAATGTCTGTAGCCAATCTGGTTCTCCAAACAGTCATTTATGCCCGGAGATGGGAGGCACAACTTCTCTTGCTGGAGTGCTGGCTGTGAAATATTTGCCCAAAACCCTCCCACAACACTCAAAGCTGCCGCAGGGAAGTTTGCCTTTCAGGTGACACACCAGCCTTGATTACTTAACTACCCTGATGAAAGAATAAAAATTACTTTTGCGCACGAGCAAAATTACATATATTTGAAATAAAAGAACATACCTAGGGTACCTTTACGCCACTCGCCAGCTGGACGCCGCGCACAGAACGGTAAGCACGGTCCCCGGCAGACCGTGAGGGGCAGCGCGCCCCGCGCCCGTGCCCTGCCCGGCTGCCAGTCGAGCACGGCCGGGCCGCGCTGCCCGCGCAGGGAGCGCCAGGCCCGCGGGCGGCTCGGCCGGGCTGCCCTCCGCGCTGCGCGCCCCCTGCGCGGCACCGCCGCCCCTCCGCGCCGGGCGCAGCGGGACACGGCGCCCGCCGGCCGGCCCGGCAGGGCAGCGAGGGCGGCCCCGGTGCTGCGCGGCCAGCGAGCGGCACCGGCAAGCCGGGAGGGGCTCAGGAGCCCCGCGGCAGCGCAGGGCACAAGTTACCGGCGGGGCCGGGGCGCTGACAGCTGCGCACACCCCTAACCCTCCCTCCCGCCCCGCGGCAGCGGCACGGCGGCCGCCCCGGCCCCTACCTTGTCGCAGTAGAGCCCCACAAGCTGCTTCATTCGCCAGTGCGGGGCGGAGAACACGTCCACCTCCTCGGGGAAGGGAGCCATGTTCTCCCCATGGAGCCGCGCCGCTCCCGGCGGCGCGAACGGCGGCGCGAGCATCCGCACCGCGCGTGCGCCCGCCCCGCGTGACCGCGCCTGCCGCCCCGCGCGTGCGCAGCTGGCCCCGCCCCTTCCCGCGGGAAGCGGCGGCGGCGCCGGGCCCGCCTCGGCCCGGGCCGCTCCTGTTGGGACGTTCTCGCTGCGGGATCCGCTCCCGCCAGCAGTCACAGCCTTAGGGCCGGGCAAGCGAGCCGCAGTACTGCACGACTTGGGATCCTGTGCCTTGGCAACGCCAAGGTAGCAGCTTGTGGGTATGAAAAACATTTCCGGATTCGGTTAGGTTAGAAGATATGAGGTCATGGAGTCCAACCTGTGACCGAACATCTTGTCTACTAGGCTATGGCACTGAATGCCACGCCTTGTCTTTCTTTAAACGCCTCCAGGGATGGTGACTCCACCACCTTCCTGGGCAGCTCATTCCAATGTTCACACTTCCTGTGAAGAAATACTTCCTCATGTCCAACCTACGCCTTTCCTAGAACAGTTTAAGACTGTCTTCTTATCCCATTGCTGTTTGCATACGAGAAACGACCGAGACCCACCTGGCTGCAGCCTCCTCTCAGGTGTTTGTAGAGAGCAGTAAGGTCCCCCTGAGTCTCCTGCAGGCTAAACTCCACCAGCTCCCTCAGCTGCCCCTCACAGGACTTGTGCTCTGTTGCCCTTTTCTGGACATGCTCCAGCATCTCAATGTCCTTCCGAAACTGAGGGGCAGAGAACTGGACCCAGGATTTGTGGTGTGACCTCATCAAGAAAGGTCCTAGGAAAGCTATTTGTATATGCTGCAGCAGGGAATTTGCACCCAGCCTTTTGCAGTGTTTGTGCCGAACGAATAAAGTGTGTTTAACATCCAAGGCAAATGGACCAGAAACACCTGGCTGTCATACTGATCTGCTTGTGCAACATTTCAAAGTAAACAGGAACACTTGGCCAAATTGAGATTGCACAACGATTTGACAAAAGCTGAAACTGTCAGCCAACATGTAGTGTAGTAAAACTGTCAACCAGCATCGCAATGTTCAGTAAATGTCACCAAAATACATTGTCAAAAGCACAATAGATGCAGCAGGCTTCTCTGACTGAAACCTTTACAAAGTCTATGTTGCAGATATTAAATGTATTAAAGCTAGCAAGTTCACAGATTTAAGCAATTGTAAATATGTTGTAATATTTTCAGCAAAGTCACATGAGTTTTTAGCCAGGTATTTCTCAACATACTTATGTTGGGAGCAAAATGCTGGTAAAAGCAGTAAATAGTGAACTGAGCAGAAGAGATCATGTTATGAGTGTTATTTAGCTGACACTGAGCACAATAATCCTTTCATCTCTTTATCTAAAGAAATTACTCTTATGCAATTGCAGTATTGGGCGTTTCCTTTTCCATTAATCCATTCCTCCTCAAAGGAGTTTTGAACACACTGGCCTACTTAGCCATATTTGCAAATATGTACAAACCTTGGAAGGTTAAATTCTTACAGCTTTGGGGTGGGAAAAAGAAGCAGTCACATAGGAGGGAAGAAAGGAAGGCGAAGCACAGGTGTTACACAGCTAACTAGCCAGCACGAGGTTGTTTTACTGCTTGGGCTAGTAAAGCAGAGCTCTGCGTTTGGGCTTGAGCATGTCTTTCACAGAGAGTGACCACTGGCACACAAGGGAGCAGGCGAGACCTTGTGTTACTGCTGTAGGTACACATGCACTTACAGACTTATGCAGGGAAGGCATAAACCCTTAAGAAACAATGTTTGAAATTCATTGCTTACAGAAGAACTTGTGAATATGAGGTCTGATTTCCAGGCTTAAAGCATGTAGTCATACCGAATTGAGGTTATTCTGCCAGAAATTCATGCTCAAGTAGTAACAGAGGATTAACGTTCCCACCTGTTACACCTTCCTACTGCTGGAACTTATCACTCCCATCTGATAGAAATAACAAGAGAGAACATGTTGGTTCCTCATCTTCTGGGGTTCAGAATATAAGCATATGCTGAATTTCATGGTGGTTTGGGTTAATATTCAGTTTGTGAACTACAGTATCTCCAGAGCAGGTATGCTGCCAATTTTCTGACTTTTATTCATGGGCAATAACATCTAGGAGAGAGGGACAGAGAGCAAGGAACAGTGATCTGTATCCACCATGAATTGCCAGACCCCAGGAGGTGAGATGGGCAGCCAGTTTGTGGCAGTGAATTACAGTACTACAAGATAAATATTTTAATATTTTAATAATTAATATCCAATATTTTAATACCTGATAAAGGGATTAAAATATTGTATTTTCATGTGTAGACTTTTAGAATATAGTTTTCATGTGTAGTGTAAGTGTAGACTTGGTAATTTTTTTTCAAGAATTCACATGGAGAAATGATTCTGAGGGTAGATTCTTCATTAATGTAACAGAAAAAGATATCATGAGATTCAGTTACTGGAAGCTAAGAGTAGACAAATTCATGCCAGAGGTAAGGTTTTATTCTCAAGGCTATCAAGCCACTGGAACCCTGGAGGTTGTTAATTTAGCCCTCATGTGAAGAATTTAGAACAAAACTAGGAAGACAAATTTAAAATGGCTGTGCTGAGTCAGATCAGAGCCATTCTGACCTGATGTTATGTTTCTAGAAGTTGCCAGTGAGGAAAGGAAGAGTTGAAATGGGGATCCCAACAACTCTTGGATGCAATTTCTCTGGCATGTTATAACAGGTTGTCTATCTGCTAGGGAACCCACATTTTCTTCCACCAAGGTGCTGTTTCCTAACCTAGTGTGTACTTGGAGAAGCACTCAGTATCTGTCTTTATGACTTCTTTATATACTGTATATTTTAAGCAAAAGTTTTAGCCTTGATGCAAAAATCAGTGACAATGTCTGCACATTTCTGTATAGAAGATCACATCAGTTATGCTTCTGGTTTCTGTTAGACCCTGAAATTACTGAGCAAAGTTTGGTTGTAGCAAAGTTGATAATAGATGTTCAGGGACTTCCACGGACTATTGCACTCTCTAATCCTGAATCCAAAGTATTGGCTTGAAACCATTAGATGAATGTTCTGATGCTCTATCAGCATGGACAGAGAGGTTAGGAAGAGAAATGGGAAGAAAAAGCATTAGAGAAGCAACGGGAGTAAAGTACACCATCTCCAGTGCCTCCACCATATCAAGTACAACATTGCATATCCATTTCTGAGTAGATCTGGCTTTCCTGAAGACTCTCCTGCAGGTAGAAAACCAATTGGCTACCTTTTATCACATTTATAGCAGAAATCCATCATCAGGATTTTACTAAATGATTAGCAAGATTTCTCCCTTGGCAAAATCCACCAGCTGAGTACCTGTGCATCAATAGAAGTGTGACACTACATAAATAAATACACAGAAAATAAAATTATTTATTCACTGAGGCACAGAAAAGAAAGAAAGAGAGAAAGAGAGAAAAGAAAGAAGAAGAGAGAGAGAAAGAAAAAGAACCAGCGTGCTCCTCAGAAATGTGAGTCCATAGACAAAATACTTGAAGGTTGAATTTATGTTTTTTAAAGGGAAAAAAATAATGTGGTTGTATTTTCAGCAATGTGTACCAGAGAATATTCTGAAGATTAGATTGATTCATGCCTTTTGATGTTCTAACAGAGCACTTAGGGAAAAGAACCTGGAGGAGAATGACACAAGAAACTGAAGACATTTGTTCAGTGCACAGGATATGTCTTAATCCTTATGTTTCTCATTATGTTTGAGTCATGACTGCAAAGCAGTTTTTTTTAATGAAGACATGATACACCAAAATGTCACTGTCACCGTCCAGGGGAGAGATGGAAAAAGAGCTGACTAATGTTACTTGTATTTGTGATACAAGATAACTTGAGGACTTGGATATTTACACTATCATTGCTGTAACTACATATTTTATATTTTTTTTTTCTTGCAAGCATTTGTTGATGGTTTAGCAAAGTGTAGCATAGCAACAAGTATTAAGGGAACCAAAGCCATCCTTAGCATTCAAGTGGTAAAGGGGTTTTTTTTCTCCCTTTACAGAAATATACTGCAATTCTCCTCAGTTATCACCAGGTGGCTTGAAAGTCTAATTTTTTTCTGAAGCGGGGAATAGTTTAGACACGAGGAAGTGATGTATCCCTGTGGTGCAATCGTTCCAGGAAATAGTTCAGTTATAATTCTCAGCAAGGTTTATTTTTCCGCCTTTGTCTTGTGTACTGAGCTGTAGCTAGTAGTGAAAATATTAAACGTTAAGACTGCAGGTTTCCATTTAAATTGTATCACTGAACTCTCCTTTTTTTCTTCTTTTTTCTTTTTTTTTCTTTTTGTTTTTGTTTTTTGGTTGGGTTTTTTTTTTTCCTTTTAAAGAATTTGGATTGTCAAGAATTCATGATGATGAGCCGGCTTTTTCCTCTTTTATTTATCTCTGTTCTATGTATGAACAGCTTCTCGGGAGTGCAGGGAAAGAAATGGAAAGGTGAAGGTACTACTCAAAACCTGGAAAGTATTGTCATTGGAAGATGCTATAATTATATAAGAACTGTGAACCCTGCTGTTGGGTAAGTTTTGCTTGTTTCTGGATTAGTTTTTTATGTTCTGTAAAAAATGGTTGTTAATCAGAAGCCTGATGTTATGCTTCTAGCCATGAAAGTGATCTTTTTGAAGACAACATACTTGTAGCTGTCTGGAAACAACAAAATAACTTTGATGGAGGTCATATTTTAAGTAATGTAATTAAGGCAAGATTTTTAATCCTTCAATTCTTTATTTCAGATTTTTTGCCCCCCTCCTCCCCACCCTTACTTTCTGTAAGAACAACACACAGAAATGACAGGGATGGTGTTTTGGAAGTACCAAATCTGACAGCACTCCTGGGAAGACCAGCTTTGCCTTGCATGCCTCTGTGTCAGGTCCTTTAAGAAAGGGAACACCTCCTTTTATAGCTATCCTGTGGTACTGAAGGAACCTTTTTAGCTCATCCACCTGGAAAATCAAGTAGTAATCAACTGCTCAAGTAGGATTATCTGTGAGCTTTCATTGGCTGCGCTAATTACACAGAACTGGAGGCAAATCACACTTTGCTAAAATAAGCACTTTTCTGTCTTCCTTGCCTAAGGACTTCAGTAAAAAGGAAGAAAATAAGGATAGTCTCTGGACTTCAGCCTTTTATTCTGCCACTAAAAAGTTGTCCTAACAGTGTGAAGAGGTATTTGCAGAGGGGCCATGGCTGGCTTCCTATAGTATTGAATTGCTGTCTTAAAACAGGGTTAGATGATATTGCAAATATCACCTCATATCCTCAACCTCCCATTTTCAGTTCCTGTTGCAAAAGAGGGAGATAAAGTACTTAAAACGATTTTTTTTCACTTTTAATAAAGGCAAAACAATATATTTCTTCACAATAATGTTTTTAACTTATCAGAAGTATTTTCTTTCAAGTTTCTTATGGAGGAAAAAGATCATCCTAATGCAAATAACACAGTGCATGAATTTCAGTGGAACAGTTCAAGCTTGGCAAATTTATAAACATGTCACAATGGAAGGGGGAAGTAATTTTTAAGTGTAGATTTCTACATTCCTGCAATATTATATATAATATTAAATACGTGAACTTAGTTAACAGTTGTGTAGGTAATCTGGCCTTGCAGTAGGCTCTAGATAGGTATAGCTCCTGCAGGACTTAACAGATGCCACTTCATTTATATCTGAAGCAGGACATGAATAATAATACAGAATATGCTAAAATGAGCAACATAAAGGATAGGTACTGTAGACATTTTAGTTGGATCATTAACTGATTTGGACTTAAAGATGTAAATGCAATATTCTGGAAAACATTTCTGTATGTCTCATGTTTATGATGGTTTTATGATCTAATGAAGTCTGGTTACATTTTCACTACATGATTTTAAAATTGAGAAGTTTGAACATGTTCATCAAAGTATTCTTGGTCAGGATAGTGTGAAGCCAGGCAGGACTAGGACTACTTTCCTGGTATTATTAAAAGAAGAGCTACAAACTGATTTTATATAATGTGGGGATTTTTCTCTTTCCCTTAGGTCTATAAGTAAATAATGTAATCCAAACAAAATGGAGATTTCATATTGTACAGGTGCAAAACAGATATTCTAATTTATATTTATTTATTTATTTATCATTTATTTTATTTATTCTAATTTATTTATATCCCTTTCCATTCATTGTCTGTTTCTTAGTTTCCCCCTGGGTGTCTTTTATAGAGACATGACCACCTGGATATGTTTTGTTTCTGAATTTATGTGCAAATTTTCTAAAAATACTTTGCTAACTTAAAGGCAGCTAGGAAAACATGTCTTTACACTGCAGCATAGTTAAAAACATTAAAATGTATATAGAAACATAAGAAAAACTTTCTCGTGTTAAAACAGAATATGCAAAATGGCAGTCAAAAGAGGCATTTTGCAAAATGCTGTGGCCATGTAGAAGTGAGGAACTTGAATTAAGATTATATTTGACATTTCCTAACAGGAGTACACTAAATAATACAAATATTCCTGTAGTGCTTTTCCTCCATATTTGTTTATTTGTAGTATATCATGGAAGTTTTGAAAACAATTTTTTTAAACTAAATAGTGTGAAATTAATCTGATTTATTATGGTCTACTAATATTAGAAGAAATTGTCCTGCACTGCAGTCCTTCCCTACCCTGTAGTTTCAAAAAGTGTTTTTGCCACCTAAGAAGTTTTGAGCATCAGAGCAGAATAACCCTTTTGATTTACAATCTGTTCAAACCTGGATGAGAAGTCATAAAAAAAAAAAAAAAAAAAAAGTTATATGTGAATTAGCCAGAAAATTACTGATGGATTCAACTGTCAAGAAAGATTTTAAAAGTTCAGTTGATCCTAACTCACAAGTACTAACATAAGTACTTCAAGTAGAAAGCTCTTTAGCAAAATGAGATCTAAGTATATACAATAGTCAGAAGCCAAAGTATAACAGCTTGAAATCTGAAACAGGGTACAAATCCTTTTATTAAGTAAACGTGTTTAAACCTTGAAACTACTGATCAAGGATCATATTGCATCACTGAAAAGTTTTAGGTCAAGATCCATTACTGCTGACAGTATATAGGGAATTTTTATATAGTTGTTAAAAGCATGACCAGAGATTTCTGTAAGAAGATCTGTAGTCTGTTTCCTGCATAGCTCATCACAAGCACTCCTTTAAAGTGTCTGTGACATTCATTGTCACAAAGCAGCTCCCTAAAGCACCTGTACCATCAGAAACCATGCTGTCTATGGATGATACTAAATGAGCAAAACACTGTAATGGCAGAGTTTGCTTTACTTATCAGGACTACTGTTGTTCAAGCTAGAGCTTTGCAATGACATCTGTTCATGTTAGGAAGGCTGTATGCATGTAACACAATTGTTCTGTTGTGCAGAGTGTTCCTGGCATAGACATTGTCACAGCGTTGTGTGGGGAAGGTACTGTGGAAAAGTGGTGAAAGTGGAAATTCCCTTCTTAATTACTCCAGGCAGGCTAAGAGCTGTGACAGATGAGATCCTGAAAGTCCAAAGAGATAGGACACTTCCATCTGTAGATAGCCTGTCTTTTCCTCCATGGACGTTATCATCCCTGAGACAGAGCTGGCAGAAGGGAAATGTTGGAGTGCACAGCCTAGCATCTCATTTCAGCACTTGAAGTGTTGAATGCTAACAGTATTCTTGTAGTTGTTGTAACTACTGCATAGTGACAGTGTGTGTCCCACACAGTTCCTGATCACTGTACTCATTCCAGCAAGATAAAACTGCATAGTCCCAGGACCTAGAAGCAGAAGGCATCTCTTTGTCACAATCATTATTTTACCATCAAAACTTTTTAGCAACTCATCCTGCATTTGAATCTGACATTTTAAGAGTAATATTGCATTCCAGCAGTGTTGGATATTTAGCTGTGGTTTATTTGAAATGGCTTTTTGAATATGGAAAATTTAAAAGAAAACTTTTTCTTCAGTATTTCTACAGTGCTGGAAAGCAAACTCACGGTGTATACCATACCTGGTAAGATTTTTGTTGAATCGCAATGTGTTTCCAATTCAACACTGTAAATGCTAATATTTTCCGTGCTACATCTTATCTGCTGCAGTTATGACTCAGAAGACAAGATCTCTATGCTCTTTCTGAGCTACAAGTTTTTTATCACCCTGACTTCAGTTTTCTGCCTTAACCTTTTAAGGATTTTAATTGGGGTATTTGGAGGAGTTGAGGACAAATATCTTTCTTGATCGGCGTTGAAAAAACAATTTTGCTGTTTCTTTGTTTCAATGATTACAGTGAGAAGAATTGTTCACAGATATGGGAAGCATTTAAAAATGCATTTATTAACAAGGATCCTTGCAACATTATACCTAAGGATTATGAATTATTTATCAATCTCACATTGCACACGATTCCATCTAACAAGGTAATAATTTTTTATGTTAATTACCCTGTGACATACAACAGATTTTAGGTGACACAGTTCAAAATTGATGAGTCATTCTGTAGCTGACTTTTGAGTCACTCTTGTTGACCGATCTGTAGTTTATAAACTAGACTCAGACTTGATAGCATGTTTTAATATGTTTGGCTCCATTTATTTTATGGAGTAACTTCTCAGCAATGTCTCTCTTTTCATACTACAGAGATCCTCCATCTTTCCTGCTGTGCTGGGAGCTCTTCCATAGTCCCTGAAATTCCACTTCTACTTTTCCTTAAGTCAGGTGCTCTGGCTGCAAATACTGTGCCTGCTATCATATTTTGCTTTTGCTCCTCAGAGCTAAGTCTCGTGACAGTGACATGTTAAATGCTGACACACTGAACAAGCAAAAGCAGAAATGAGAGAGGACGTTGTTCTATGCCAGAAATCAGTAAGGGTTTGATGTGCTAGCAGTTGCAAAGAACTGTGAAAGTGCAAAAGACATGTTGTGCTTTAAAGCAGTTTTTCCTCTAGCACAATTATTCCTCATTTCTAAATGATACAAGCTGAACCAACAAATACTACTGTCAACATAGCTTAATTCATGTGGAGTTCCACATAGACAGAAATAACATCTAGGCATATGATTTTTTTTCACACCATAAGTCAACACAGCAATGTGAGTGTTTTGTGGTAACATATATCTGGCTTATAAATATCTTCCTTTTTTCTCCTTCCCCTAAATCTGTCTACGGAGGCAGGCAAAGCTAGGCCTAACTATATTTTAAAAAGGACTATATCCCTTCTCATCAAACTAGTAGTGTTCCTCAAGTCACTTGTGATCAGAAATTATACCTCTGGAAAATAAAAATCTTTGTTCCTTTAAAAGATAGCTAACGTTTCTGGTTATTAGCTTGATTTGGAAAGAAATACCAAAACATGTTTTAAACTTTATTCAATACCACATAATCTCATTGTGACCACACCCAAGTGTTGGTGCATTTCTTCTCTATGTTTTTTTTCCTAGTCTCTTTTCTGGGAAAATAATCAGCTACTAGTCAATAGCTTTGCTGACAGAGGACGTCGCTACATGTCTCTGGGTGATACTCTGTTTGGCTTCATTGGAGATTTTCTGAACTGGTGTGGGCAGGCAGACAGCCCTGGTAAGACAATGAGTGCTATGTTAAACATTTATCTGTAAAACCATAACGGAGACGAACTGCTGTGTTCTGGAAAAACTAAGTATGCTCTTACCCCATGAAAAATCAGGGATAGCTTCACTGTCTCGTTCTCTCTTGTATTGTGTGAATATTTAGTACTGCAGTCAGGAGAGCACACAGTGAAATCCAAATGCTCCTGCAGTGGGGATAAACCTCTTTCTCAGTCACCTGAATCTGGAGCTCCCTGCATCCCAGAACAGAGTAGAACCATTTCAGCCAAATTACTGAATCCTCAGAATGTTACTGTTTTCGTGTAAACTACAAAGGATGGAAAATGATTGAAAAAATACAACAGCTTTCAGTACTATGTCAAACAATCTTGTGGGTTCAGTGAGTAATGCACAAATATATTTAGTTGCTTTATAAAGTCACTTTTTATATTCATTATAATCTCTCTAATAGCACAAATCACATGCCTTCCTACAGGACTGGACTATGAATCCTGCCCAACCACATTGGAATGTGAGAACAATGCAGTGGAATCTTTCTGGAGGATGGCCTCAATCACTGTAAATATTGTATTAGTGCTGACTTCATACATCTGCAAGTGTATCTGGGGTGGTTCAGGAAAACATTGCTAGTTCAAAATAGACTTAAACCCGTAACTCTACTGGATTATTTCCCCTGATTCAAATACACTGTTTTATACTGGCTGCAATGTTTTAGCAAGAAGAACCTAACATTCACCTCAGCTAGATAATGTGTTAAAATTGTTAGCTTTTTTAATATAAAGCATATTTAGTAAGCACAGTAAGCATGCTGATTCTCTGCTGATTATAGGTCCTAAGTGACATTTGACAGCCTTGCTGAAAACCCTTTACTCACAGATCAAACTGAACAGAGAATGGAAAAATGCTTTTGTCTTGTGCTGAAGAAACTAATTATAAATGTGAGAAAAGAGCTTGAGAACTGTTGATTTAACCGTGGCCAGTTTGGTTCCTGTCCTTTTTACTGCAGTGACCTGCTAGGGTGTTAGTCTAATATTATTTTTGCAGTTCTGATATTCTTCATTGTTTTAGTTTGAAAAGACAGGGGTCTGCTAAGGAAGGCAGGAGTTCCCTTAGAAATGGAAAATGTAAACCCCCTCCCTCCAAATTATTACAGTTTTGAAATTAAAGGGCTCTCAGGCAAAGATATGGGAGTAGGAATAACAGTTCTTTACTAGTATGTATAAATAAATAAAAAAAAAACCCTTCATCTTAATAGGAAAATGAAAATAAAATGCAGTAGTACAAAAAGCACTGACAGAATACACCCTGACACTCTGTTGGTCAGCAGTCTGATTAAGTGGTGGCTGCAGTCCTCCTGGGGTGACAGACTGGTTCTGTTGAAGCAATGATCCTGTAGAAGGGTGCAGTTTTCTTCTGAAGGCCCAGTGGTGGTGTAGATGGGTCTGGCCTTCCTCTGGGAATCCAGTGGAGAAAGGCTGATCTGGTGTTCTAAATCTCAGATTATATCCAGGTAGGAATGGGTTCCTCCCCCTGGATGGGACATCTCCCAGTGGGATGGTGTAATTTTATCAGTCATGCAGTCAGACTCAGTGGCTCATTAGCAGAAGATCTCCCCCTGGAGGGAGGATGGGTCATGGAAGAGATGAAGAACACTGCCACACCTGGTTTTAACAGATGGAAATAGAATACATACTCTTGGTTACATCTTGCATTGCAACTCAAGACATTCGTGGTAAAATTCTTTCCTTGGTCACTCTAATTTGCAATAAAATACCAAGTTATATGACAAATCTGTGAGATCTGAAAAGCATTGTTTTCTATTGCAGTATGCACAGCACAGTTCTGGGGTGATACAGGTCTTGCTGAATGGTTCTGCAGAGGGCGGAGCTTATCCACAGCCAGGGTAAGAGAACTGACTGATTTCTGTGTAGAGTGTGATGACTACAAAAAAGAAAATTCAACCAATTTTTTGGGTCTACTGCTGCACAAAGTGTGAGAAGTGTAGCTGAAAGGACCTGTTGCATCAAAGTCTGCTGAGTTGTGGGGACAACTTCCCTAGCTGAAGGAATAATACGTAGTAGATGGAAACCTTTCAATTCCTGCATTTTACAAACTGCTGTGGCAAGCATGCTGAATGCTCTGAAAGGTACCCTCAAGTCAGCCAATATATGGTGGCAAAATGTGTATGTCTTCAAAAAGATGAGTGCTAACAAAATTTCTCTTTGGGGACATGTCGGAGTAGAGGATATTGTTACAAGGAGTGTAGCTTTTGTCAGGCCTACAAACAAACTTGGTAAATTCTAAAGGGAAAGTATTTCTCCATGACCAAGAGTGGACGCAGTTTGAAGTCTACTGTGGTTTCAGAAAGCAGTAAAAAGGTTTGTTGAGGAGGCTAATAGCAAAGATGAGCTTCCTCTTCCCCTTTGTTCCTTTAATATTAAGGACAGGTGTATTTTTCCTCATTCAGAAGTGTACCAGTATGCAGAAGCTCATCTAAGTTTACATTCAAAATTTATGGTAAAAGTACACCCTTTAGAACTTTTACTATGTGTCTGTAGTGACTGCTTACATGTGGTAAAAAATGCATCCTTCATTACCTCAGCAACTGTCCTGTCCAAGGCAGAGCAAAAAATTACATCTTTCAAAAACCCATAGAAGACATCCCCCTCCTGTGTATTCACTGAGGACTAAAAATGACCATTGAAAAAGCAATTTTATTTCTGGATAGGAGAGAACAAAGAACCATCTTTTCCAAAACACCTCCTAACTACTTACCTCTGTCCCCCAAAACATCCCTCTCTATACACAACTTTAAGCTAATCACAAAGACTTATAGAGTTTTCTTGGGTTGGTCAAGTGGTCAGCTGGGATCAAATCTTCTGCAGATGGTAATACCTGGCAGCAGACCAATACCCAAAATGTATTATAGATGCCTTATTTTAGAAATTGATTCCTTATTTCTGTTCATTTACATTTTCCTTATTTCAAAAACATCTCACACACACATTAATTCCACCAGTTCCCTAGGTTGCCAGTCTGGTGGTATTTTAACCAGTGAAATCACCACTGGAACTCAGCCTGCCAAGGAGAAAATAAAAGCAGTTACTCCATCTGTTTGCTTTGCTGTGTATCCTCTGGTCCATTTATGACTGAATTTGTTTAAGAGTTCATGTTTGAGAAAAAAGCTGGAAGTTGAATAATTAATAGCAGACAGTTACCTGAAAGATCTGTCTGTCTCCCTAACCATCTCTCTGGTCTGTTTTCAACTATTCCAAAGCCCCTTTCAAAGTTTATTCAGTTTTAAAGTTTGTACACTTAAGTCGTCATTAAGTCACCTGATATCATTTCAGTTAAGATTAATTTCTTATTTCATGGCAAAATAATTCACACAGTATGAATTTAGTTGGCAGATTTCTTTAATAATAGTAGCCAGTTAAAAATTTGTTTTACTGAAGTCAGTTGCACCTTGTTCCTCCAGGGCTTCTGACACCTCTAGTAAAAGATTTCTCCAGATTTGAGAGCAAGCTTCTTTTTTTCTCTGCAAATGACATATGCATGACTGAGTAAATGAGTTATATTTTCAGTATGTGTTGGAGAGGTTTGGACACGTTAGACAAAAAGGCAAACCTGCTGTTGCTGCTACTGGTCTCTGGTCAGCCACTGCCATACCAGACATGACCAGAGAAAGCAGCTCGTGCTATCCGTCTTCTTGTTCCACTTCTCCAGTAATTTAAAATAATTTGCTAACTTCATGAACCAACAGACACTGGTAAGCAACACATGTCCTATGCTTCTGTGGCAGAGCCCTGGTGGTAGAGCCACCAGGAGGACAGACTGACATTGTCACTGCTGGTTCCATCCAGGAAGTGGCAACTAACCCTCCCTTCTTCTCTTGGAGGTCTCAGAACATTTAAAAGGGCTAAGAGACACTGTAGTGCTGATAGCGACATTTAAGAAGATACATGATAGGAAAATATCAAATTAGGGGAGAGACCTAGGCCCAGACTTGGACCAGGCATTCAGTGAGGACACAGCCCTTACAAGCTTTCTGAGGGAAAAAAACCCTAAAAGATTGGAAATCATTATTCTACATCTTGAAAAAAGGGTTAGAATCTATCTGTGGCTTTGAGATGCCAGCATGTCACAAAAAAAAAAATAAAAATCAATCTAGAGACATTAAAATCAACCTTTGGGTTTCATATTTTCTTAGATTAGATATTATGAGGAAATATCAAATGATTTTTGGTTTGTTTTAGCATTTGTAAAAGTTCATTCTGGTTCACTTTTAGGTGAATTCATTAATGTAGAGGAGGAAAAGACTTTAATTTTCATGTTCTTTATAATTCTTTTTTTTTTTTTTTTTATTGAATCAGTTTTTTTGCAGATTATGAAATACCTAATCTCCAGAAAGGCAAAATCTCACAAATTTTCATTTGGGTTGTGGATGATCTTGAAGGACCAGATCTGTAAGTTATGTCTTAAAAAAAAAAAAATAGTTTCTCCCTTTTGGACTTGTCTTTAAAATTTCACTGTATCTTTCTGTTGGATTATATTTGCATACTTCTTAAAACAAAGTATTTTAGATGCTTTCATGAACACAGAAGACACAACCTGCCATTCCCAGAGAGTATAGAAATACCAGAGTTAGAGAAAATATAAATAAATTCTAATATTAGATCTGGAGGCAAATCTTGGTTAGATGTGTGTGTGGATCTCAGACACTGAATGAAGATAGAGCATGAAGTTTTACAAAGATTCAATCTGAATTTCAGATTAAGTGCTGATGAGTGATACTTCTTTTACCTTGGCATATGCATTCTTTTCATTTTCACCTATCTTAACTGTTTGAAAATTTGTAGAAGCAGGCAAATACCAACAAGCAGATCTTTATCTCTCAATAATTAATCCAGAAATAAAATCTAGGCTTTAAAAGTGTCTAATTTTGCCAGTAATTTAATTAAAGCAAACAAAAAATAAGTAATAAACAAATATAACAAAACTGATGAGTCCAAACAGAATAGTCTGTTGTGTATTTTACCACAATGCTGTGGAGTCTACATAGCATAGTTCAGATTAGCATTTCTCAGCCTGTCTCTCTAAATCAAAGAATCATACCCTCTGGGAGGGAAAAAACATACAGCTCATCTTTGCAAAAGCTAATATAAACACTGAGTGTTAATTTATGTTTCAGTAAATGGATGCATGGGAGTAATGGTATATTTTTATTAATTGTTTTCTACAATTACTTGGTTGGTCTACATATGATTTCTTTAGTCATGAGTATTTACTTACCAGAAGGTAAGTAGCACTGGCCTTAATACTTTATGTTGGTGCAAGTTTAGAGGTCTCAATAAACTTTTTTATGCTAACTGGAGTACAAATTAAAACATCAATGCTAGGAACAGGAGCTGTGTTTAGGGTTATTTCTGGGTTTTTTCTTTCTGTGTTTTTCTATTATTCAACATTCAAGAGAGAGAACAAGCTAACAAGAAGTATAATTCTCATTTATTGTAACAAACTTATTCTGTAAAGACAGATAGCATCAACTTTATCACTACCTAAATAGTTGCCAAAGAATATTACAAACAAAACACTATTTTACAAAATTTTTAGGTCTTTTTCTGTCTAGTCAAATATTAGAGTCAAATATCAGTTATTGGTGACTAGAATCTGAAAACCCTACACTGGCTGAAGCTAATCTTCCAGATTCTGTAAGCTAGGGATAAATTGTGAAGCAACAGTAACGTAAGCAAATGAAGCATAAATAGCAATGTACATCATTCTTCTAGAGGTGTTATGGAATATAGAAGAGGTAAAGTAATGGGGATTTTCTTTACTAATTCCATCAAGTTCAGTGAAAAGAAATATAACAAAAGATTTGCAATAATATTGAAATCCTTTCTCATAGAGATTCCTGTGGAATTCAGAGTGTAAAGACATTAGAAACCAGGCTGAAAACTCTTGGTTATGATGTTACTTGCACTGACAATAACAAGTAAGTGAAAACCTTTTTTTAATGTGCTCTATTTGCAGAAGCACCTTATCTATTTTGATTCTTGCTGTTCAATACTGAAGTGCCAGTAATGTTGTGTCTTCAGGAGGGACAGATATGGTAGAGGGATGATGTCACATTTTTCAGACTTGGCATTTTTTGGTTGTGAATTGATCAAAACAGTACATCTTTCTGTATGATTGAGTGGAATGTTGTACTTAGTCAATTTCAGACACAGAAGATGGTCTCATGTATTTGGATTTAAACAACAGTTAAAAATTATTGAATGTCTGCAGAATTACTGGTTATTCACAGTAACTATTTCACAGCTCTAGTCATTCCCATTGATTGTAAGATAAATTTAATGAAGATTTAAACATGATAGTACTGTGAATTTGTTTCATTTTTTCATGTTTTTTTCCTCAGTTGTCTGCCTGAAAGGTGCTAAATAAAATGGTATTTTCACAGGTCTGTAATGTTCTTACTCTGTCTGGATAATCCTGATAATTCTAAGTGTGCCCTTGCATCGTAAGTAAATCAACCTATCCTCAGTGTTATTACAACTGAATAAATTATGCAAAAGACAACAGTTCAACAGATACCTCTACCACTTGTTATGTATCACCCATAGGCAATACACAGTGGTCTTGAATTTATTACTTATTGTGGACTGAGTTTGCAGTTTCTAGTCACAAATTGTGCACAGCTGTCTGGGAGCATCTGCTGTTCAGAATTAGGTGTTAATGGGTTCTCACTGATCACACAGTAACACTGTATATCACTGATGATGTGAAGTTTGTACATATCACTGTTCTGATATAAAATTATTACAAATTTGAAGTTGCTTTCATTAATATAATTTCTTGAATAATTGAAGTATAGATCAAATGGCAACAGGTCTAAAGGACATTTCTCCAGCTACACTGCAATTTTCAGTTCTAAATTTTGAGGAAGTTTCCTTTTAATCTTCAATTTTGTGTGAAGCTTAATCTCTATATTTTAATGTATTTACCTTGTGCCAGTGAGTTATCTACAAAGAATGCAGATTACATCCAAGATATAACTTCTTAATTAGCAAGCATTGGTCCCAAACTCCCTATTTATCCATATTTATCTATATTATATAAAGAGCATTAAATTAATTTATTGTGTATTTCAGTGAATTTACAGTAAAGATTACTGTTTTCAATTCTATGTTTCTTAATCTATATGCTGTTGTAAATATATAGGTACACATAAGATACTTGAACATCTGAATGAGAACTTCCTCACCGTTTGGAATGTTGTAGAATATATAAATACATAAACACTGTTTTTTAGTTACATTCTTTTTATGCCTAATCCATGCTTTATTTCTTACTGTCCTTTCTTCCCTTATTCCAGCACATGCAAATTTTTGTTTGTTAATATCTGTGTGATACTGCAATGATAAATTCTGCTATGAAAGTCCTGATACGCTATCTCTGATTATGGCAGCAGAGAGGTGCAGCTCCAGCTTGCCTGCCTCTGGGAGGGGCTGTAGTGCTTCATGCATTACAGAAAAGGAGGTGGGTATCACCTTCTGTAACACATGTCCAGTTTTTGGTACACACTTACAGAGACAGTGAGTATTCCCTCTTCATGCTGGTCACTAAAACCTTTTAGTCACCTTGCCATGTAACATTTATTCTCACGTGCAAATTATATCCTAACCCCAGCATATAAATGTTAATGAAAATGGTGGGTTTACAGATACCACTGATGGCTCCAGACTTCTTCTGGGCAGTAGATCGTAGAACAGACTTCCTGTTAGGGCTTTGGTTGGTTACAAAATGCCACTTGCACAGTGGGTAAAAATAGGGTTTCCTTGTTCTGCCATTGAATGGCAAGGCTTTTGTTCATGTCAGATGGAAATACAGCTATCCCTTTCAAAATAATAGCTGTGAACATAGTGACAATATTAGCAAACTGGAAGAAAAATCACTTCACAAACACTTTGAAAAATACAATATTGTACTGAGCTCTTAACAGAAGATTTTTTTCCTCTCCCAGGTTTTAAATAATTTTCCTCAAAGTTTTGTGATGTAGGTATGTTACTCAGCTGAGGAAACCTGGATAAGAAGGCTTTTGGAAACCATTCATGTGTTTTTCCTTTCAGCTAAGGGGTGAGCATGCAGTTCTGCAGTATAGCCACATGGCATTTGCAGGGTGTAAGCAGGGGAGCACCCACCCCTTCCTTTCCATCCAAGTCACTACTTACTCAAAGTAACATAATCCCTGCTGTATTTGAAACACACTCTCACACTCTCCTGGGGTAACTCCTGAGCAATTCAGTTGTTCTCATTCTCATGTCTCTCCTTAGGAAAAGTTTTCTTGCTTGTTTCCCTCATGAGCACTGTATTCCATCCTTTATGCATGGCACTGTAATAAGTTTGAACAATTTCACATCTATCCCAAATCACAGTAGAACTTCCCGATCTGAATGCAAAACTATCATTTCCTCTCCCTGAAATTTAAGTAACTTAAATACTACAAGCCAATGAATACTTACATTCTTCCCAAAATCACTTAATTCTCTGCAGTAAATAACACCACCTCCATTAAAACTAGCTGGCTTTTCAGAAAGAGCCTTAAGCAGATGCCTATAAATGATTTGATTATCTTCTTAGGTACCTTTTCTGTGTGGATAGATCCCAGTTCTGTGATGGTCCATTCACTGGCATGGGGGCAGTTTGGTCAGTAGGGGTATCACTAATTGGAGTGGGTATCTGTTCGGGAAAGTTTCCTTTGCACAGTAGGTGTTCTCAGTGTTCATACTTCCATAGTAAACAGTGGAACAGACAGCCCCCTTTCACGTGGGCTGTGTGCTGTTAAAGGGGTGATAGCTGCCCTCTCAGCCTCCAGAGAAAAATATCCTGAGCCCAAAAACATCAGAGTTGGACAAAGTGACTTTTTGTCACCACAACTCCTGTTACACTGGCATAGCAAAGGAGAGGTCTACTACCTGGGTCAGGGTAGGAGAAGGATGGCTTAGAAGGTGCTGTGATGTACTTGGGGCTTCTTGCATGGTGGTGGTGGCACTTAACTCCTCTCCAGATTTGAACGATGTTCCTACTGAGTCAAATTTGGACTTTGGCTTGTTAAGGCAACACCCTGATATTAGGAAAAAACTTGTAAGTGAAAAATACCCACTAGATGGCAGAGATGGCTTACAATTGTAAGCAGGAAGGAAGCCAGATGCAAGCTGTTAGTGGTGGTATTTATTTCTTGCATTATTGCAATGACAGGGAGACGTAGAAGTGGATCTGAATACTATTGCACCAAGTGCTGTGAAAATACAGTCCTCCAGGTCTGCTGCTGTCTACAAGAGCACTATAAAATCACAAGCATAAGGCCAGAGACAGCAAATGGATGTGGGGAGACAAGAAAGCTCTTGTGCTAAGGTAGAAAGAGTTCCCAGGGTTTTGCAAGGATGTTCTGTTTATAGAATCATGACAGCCAAAGGGAATCCGTTGGCAGGCTCATATAAAAAAAACTTCTAGCTTAGCTTAGCACTTGGGCCACAAACTTCACCCTTGGCAACAAAACCCCTGATATTTAAAAGAATCCTAACTCAGCTTTGTGCTGTGAACATCCTGTTTGTTTTCTCTTCTTCAGATCTGCACCAGCAGTACAAAGAGGACCTATATCTTCAGACAGAGGAGGCAGCTGGAACAAGCTCATGTTTGTTTCTTTTGCAGGCTTTTTGTTCAGATTTGCTTTAGTGTACTAAGTTAATCAACTGAATCCATAACCTCTGTTTACCTTAGCTGGCTATAAATATGGCTTCAACTAATTTCTAACATCAGTTTCACCCTACTTTTGGGACTGGCAAGCTTGCATATTAAAACCTTACATACTAGATACTGGCTTCTTTTAGTATCAAAAATTATCCCACTTCTGCTAGGAAGCCTCACCCTTCATTTTATTTTCTCTTCTAGAAGAAGTTCATTGCTATTTCCTCTTATCTTTATTCTCCAGAATTAAACTGAGAATAATACTTCCTGTTCACATACTTCAGAAAGAAAAATGATACTATGCCTGTCATACATCACCCACAGGGATTACTTGTTTGTAAAACCATCCTAACATCTGACCTTGGGAACCAAGTGACTGATTATCTTGTTTTGGGAAGGTGAAACATAAATTCAAGTGTGAGAGATCTTAGATTGCTCACTTGATACAAGATGAAATAGGTAAGACAGTGGAAAATAAACTTATATTCGTAAGTGGTCCAGTACTTGGGCCAAACTTAAACTAGGGTACAGCAAGATTCTGGCTGCATATTGTGCATTGCACACAATATTTTATCATATAATATCAATTGCTTCATCATCCACACAGCTGTTCCTCAGCTGGCTGTTTCCTGGACACTGGATAGCAAATAGTCAGAAATACCAGGTCTAGAAAGTTCCACAGTTTTTCCACCATGATGTGATTTATGGTATATCAAATTCAGAGAAGAACCTGCCAAGTCAGACATTGGCCTGCTTGCAGTGAACTCGGATAGCAGGGTTCAGAACACACTGAGGAGAGAGCAGATGCCATCCTGAAGGTTTCTTGGGTTACTTGTGTGAATTCCAGTGCTCCAACTAGATGCTCCTCTAAACCACCAAGATATCCAGCAAGATGGCACATAAATCTCCAGAAAAAAAATGGTCATTCTACTAGAGAATAACTTCATGTACATATTTTTTGCACATTTTGTGTTAGCTTCTGTATTATTTATTTGTGTTTGTATTGACTGGTTGCCAGGAAACTTAGAGAGGATGTTCTGTTATCTCATTGAATCTGATTGAAGGGTCCACAATAGATTTATATCCTTTCAATCCCTGATCATGTTATATGTTTGAAAGATAAAATATTTAAATTACGTTGTGGTTGCTTATTTGGCTTTCTTCCCGGCCTGTAATAATCTTTACTTTTGGTTTTAATGCAAATCTCTTTACATTGAACACATATTTGGGTTTGCCTATGTCACAGGTGGGTTTAGGCTCGAGCTTGAAGGATTTTTGTATGTTTCAGACACAAAAAAGTACTGGAAGTACAAAAGTACTGAAATCAGAAGTAATAGGCCTTGAAAATCTGAGCTGTATTATGCCTCAAAATTGTTCCCTATCTGTGCTGTAACTTTAGTCCTTTGATTAGTTCCTTGAACATCCTATTCATTTTTATTGTTTTTTTTATCATGTATTATTTTTTACAGCGGTCATCAGAGTAGTAAGAAAGGTATCTGTAACACAGTCACATCTCAGCTAAAGCCAAGCAATTTTGATCCATCTTCTATTTGCCCACAACAGATCCTATCACGACACATTTTGGGCCACAGGCTGTAGAGAGTGTGTGTGAGGCTCTCAGGTGTTCCAGCCATCTCCAGGCTGGTGTGTCCTACTTACTGACCTGTGTGTGACAGTGTGTGTGAGATCCAGAGAACAGCTTCATACCATTAACCAGCCATGTGCCTCTTAAGCAACTTCCAACCACAAACCAAGCATCCCAGCTGGCCAACTTTTGCTTTCCAGCTTATGAAAGCTTTCCAGCCTCTGCATGTAATTGACTCCAGAAGCACAATCAGTGATGGCAGTTACGGTACCAAACACTCGTAGAAAGTGCTAAATAATTCTGTATTGAAAAAGAAAAATAATTAAAATACATAGTAAAATGCTACAATTCAAACAACTGAGGTTATTTAATGCATAACCTTATGTCAAGAACAACACACCTCTTGCAGTGTTTTCTTATTTCTAATATTCTTTATTCTTCCCATTACTTCAACTCAGTAGCAAAGACAGCAATTTCTTTTCTAATACCTGTTCAGTAAAGTGTCTCACACTTGCTTAAAAAACTTGGAAAGATCTGTAAAGATTTTTAGCTAACCAACTAATATAGCTAATAAAAAAGAGCAACAAGGCAAGGTTCTAGATGCATAGGTTTCCTGAGATCTTAGAGGCAGCAGATTTCAAGCTGAGTGTGAATCATTTGTTCTGACTTTAACATAATGGTTTTAATCTGTGCAAAAGAACAGTGGGACTGGCGTCTCAGAAGCTGTGGGGCAGAAGTGTCATCAAAGCAAGAAACAATAAAGTAATTTGTTAATCCCAGAGGGAGGGAGAGACAGGAACATGTCTTTTTATAATTTCTACATCCATGAGGATGTGGTGAATAGTATTATTTACAGTTATATGTTACACTGAAGTGGTGACAATCAGCCAGATGAGCCTGTGCTGTTTTAAACACTCAGAGAATACTCTGATTAGAAATGTCTCATGTAAGAGCTGTGCCAATGTGGAGAAATTGTACTGTCCAAAAGGCATCTGCCCTTTTCCTTAAACTCATTCAAGCCTGGGGAAGTTCACAAATATAGATTCAACCTGTTTTAACCATTCATAGATGTACTAGCAGTATTATAAAAACAGCTGTCTCCAGATGTGATTTTGAGGGAGAAAATGTTTCAGATGAAAACAATATGTATATCACTTAATTTGAGTTCTGTTGGATGCCAAAATCCTGTGTAAATCTATTAACAGCCAACTACTTATGGCAAATGAAAATATAATGTACAAGAACATTACAAGGTGTTCTGCATCTCTGCAGATAGACCTGTGGAAGCTACTGAGATTGAGGTAGTATTTCCTGCTGTGCCCATTTTGTGAACTACTTAAGAACTCTGTTATCTGACATTCTTCATTCTTATATAGAAGTAAATATAATCTCCCCTCCTACTAACCTACTTTTTCTTTCTGCTACATGCATTTCAGTCATTGTATCTGACAGAGGCTGAACTCTAATTCAGAGTAGTTCCTTTTTCCAGCTTGTGTGTGCATGCACACATAAGCATCTGATCACACCTGCTCTGCCTATTTTTAAATGCAAACTCTTGAGTGCTCTGGAGTAAAAAGTTATCAGAATAAAGCGTGGACAACTTGATCACCTCTTTGCCCTTTTTATACTGCTGGTGTTTATTTTTGTCATATTGGTCTTGATGTGATATTCAACTGACATGACTACATTTTCAATCAACAATCTTAAATGTAGTGAAATGTGACCTGAAACCTCAAGAACTTGAATATTTTTTTGTTCTGTGAAAGCTATCTTTTGATAGTGTTCTTCTCAACTGAATTACCAAAAAATAATTCTGATGTATTTTGCTTCAACAATAGTGTGAAGTGGAAGAAGAGTGCTTTTAGTAGATCCAAGAAGTTTGGTTTAAAATAGCTCTGTATGGGGAGGCACAGTATCTTAATTTAGCCAAATATCCGGGTGGCTCAAACACTTCACAAGTTTTTTTTTATTTTCAGGTTTTTCCTAATTCCAGTTTCTGCCCAGTCTAAATTTACATGCAATGTTATGTAAGAGGCAAAGACTATAATCTGTCAAATTTTGTTTATAATCTGCAGGCATCTGATTTCCTAGCTTCTTGGAAATTACAAAGACAAGCTCCCAGATCCTCATTCCCTTACGGCAGCAGCGCAGTTCCAGTGCAGGCTGGCAGGGAGGCTGGTGCAGGAAATTGGAGCCTGGGAGTGTGGCACGTATGTCCCCTCACACTGTGCCAGTGGGCCCCTGCTGCCTGGCAGCCCCCCTCCTCCTACCTTCTCCCTTTCTCTTCAGCCACAGCCAAGGTGAACCCGACCTCCCTTCGGATGAGTTACTTTGTATTTATAGCAGAATATGTGAGCAGAAAATTATGTTGTTGGAAATTCTATAAGAAGAAAACAAAGGTGGAAATTAGAGTATACATTTCCTTCCAGCAGCAGGCAGTGCAGTGAAGTAAGTGGTCTCTCACTTGTGACCATTTGACTAAGAGTACCTGTGGGCTGTGTAAGCAGTAAGTGTTGTAAGTTCCCTAAGTGTAGACAGAGACAATCCTCCAGAATTCCTCCAATATGCCTGGGGTATCTTATGCCCTTAGTTACAATACTTAATAAATAATTAACAAAGAATCTAAGTACTGTAGGCAGAAACCAGAATTATAAATCAAGACTGTGGCGAATTCTGGATTACCGAACTGCAGGGAGACTTTTTTCCCCCATTTGCAGCAGGTAAAGTCAAGTGTGCTAAAGAAATGACAGGCATTCTATCTGCTGCACTGTGTCAAGGAACAGATGTGGAAAAGCCCCTAGGTCACTTCGTACCATTTTGTAGAAATAAGTATCCCATGGAAATTTTAATCTTCTGATACCAAATCCCAACTGTAGGACATGCTGGCCTGGATTGAGCTCCATTTTTACTTATCCCTTTGCTTTGATGAAACATACCAGAAAATCCAGAGCTGGTATTTCCACAACTCAGAGTGTATGCTCTGGGCTTTCACCCAGAACTTTCTGTCACCACTGCACATTAGCATGAGGTTATAAGACATATATCGCTTGACATAAATCACTTGAAAAGTAGTTAAGGACAGTAAGCATAACCAATAATCTTGTAAAATGCAGCATCAAATCCCAGATAAATATTTCTACACATGTATACAAAAGCATGTTTTACAGTTGTCAATTAGAGAGGATCTTTGTCAAGTTTCTTGGTTTTCTAACCTTTGACCTATCACATGAAGCTTTTCCTAGTGGCATACCTACCCTGTATAGTTCTTTCAGGAGTAATTGTGCTATTTACGCATTCTTGGAGTTGGAGAGCCTAATTCTGTATCAATTTTGTTCCCTTGGCTGCCTCAGTGGGATGGGAGCCTTATGGGTATTTCTCTTCAGAATGAGTGAGCAGCATAACAATTAGTAGTGGTTAGAAAACAAGCACTCAGTTTCATGAAAGTTGGTGGGATTAGTGCATGTGCTTTTCCTCTGCACTAAATTAAACCTTGAGAAATGCTTTGCACATGAAAAGCAGCCTCATCAGAAACCATGGTAAGATCTCACAGATAGGATGTAGCTTTGGTACAGCTCTCACTTACTTGCAAACTCAACTATCACAGCTGTTGATTTTTTTTTATAAATTAAACGTGTCTTAAGTAAAAAATATTTTCTTCATATCCTAATTCAGGTAGAATGAATGAGTCATTAAACACGGGTCTCCCATTCTGCAGAGCAGTGCTTTAAATAGTACACTTTGGAATGTGTTTTTCTAGTTTGCCTAGAACATCATTTTCTGACATGTCTAAATAGAAAGACATAACAAAAAGTTGTGAAAGTGCTACAAAAGAATGAAACAACCTGTTTCTCCAAGCTATTCTGGAGCTACTCCACCTCCCTCCCTAGCAGAGCAGCGTGTTTGTATGTAGGAGGTCTCTTGGCATGTTGCCTCATTCCTTGACAAAATCAATGTGTAAACCCCAGCTATGACATTGTTTTGTTACAAACCCACCACTTTGGCTACAGAAAAAAGAAACTGGGAATTGCAAAACACGAGAAGCAGCAGTGGTGGCAGCAGGAAATTCTTCAGCAACAGCAAAGCTCAGGATGCACCTGTAGAAGTGCCAGGCTCTCAAAGAGAAAGGGAAGGAGCAGATGGCATGACACTGAAGAGAGCCAGCAGGGGAAAGAAGCACAGAAATGGGAGGAAGATGCTTGGTCCAAAGAAGAATGCTTTGGACCCTTTGGGATCTTAGTTCACAATAAACAAAGAAAAAAAATCAGTAATTGGTGTCTGTTCCCCTGTCTCAGAGAGAACAGCACTGTCAGTGCTCTCAGGGCTCCAGCTGGCGACAAGTGAGCTCGCTCAGCCAACACACAGAGAGGCCAGGGCTGCTCAGACAAGGGAAAGGAACCAGTCTGTGCATGTCTGCATGGAGAATGATCAAGGAATAGCTGTTTACCAACAACCTGGACATAAGCTTTAAATGCACATCCAGTCACATTGTATTAATTTGTAAGGCAGCCAGAACTGGATCAAATCGGAGCTGAAGGACAGATGTCACCACTTCTGAGACTGTTCAGGGTATGTCTGTATTCTTGTCAGTGCATCTCACCAGTTGCTTGATTCTGCTGAAATAATATGACTGTTCATAAATCACATCCTAGAAAGAAACAATTTAAAATCTGTTGTTCTGGTGCCATTTCAGCAGAGCACAACACCAGTGGAAAAAGCAGGCAATTAATTCAGGAACCTTAAGCTCTGTTATTTGCCGTGAAAAGCTCTTACCTCTTATGCTGTCTCCATAGCCTGGTGTGAAACAATGTCATATAAAAAATTTGAGGTAGTTTTCTATGGGATGTCTGGTAGGAGTTTCCTGATTGGGAGGATTTTTAGAGAAATTGACATATATATACATATGTATATGTATATGTTAATTTCTCTAGAAATTAACATATACATACACATACATATATATGTGTATATATATATGTGCATATATCCATATATATTTGTATGTATATGTATATATACATATAAATGTATACATATAAAATATAAATATTATATTATCCATATAATATGTAATATTGTGATAGATTGGCATTTAAGAAAACAAAGAGAAACACCTAAGGAAATTAAAACCGCTGGAGGCTGATGGGTGTTTTTCTCCTAGCCAACAGCTGGCCATTTCTAAGAATTGACAGCAGTTTTAACCATTGAAAAGTGAGTTCAACCTGTGAACACCACCTTAAGACCTAAGCCTGGGAATTTCTTTGTCTCTTTGTTTCCTGGCTGGGAAA